TCTTTCAACAAGGCGGACTTTGTCAGTTTTTAAATCTTTTCTGTGAACATTGTTGTATTGGTATCCCCAATGTGTCCCTTCCTCTGGAACACCAACTCATGTCGATGCGGAAAATTGCAGCAAGGACCAACAACATCGCAGGACTAGGGAAGGGATGGTTAGCCGATTTTTTTTTTTGGCTGGATGGGATGGGATACGTCATCTTGGTTAATGCACCGACTAACTGCGCTTATCACCTTGTGCTTGCCATTAATTGCGATAGCCATAGTTGTGTGTTTAGGTTGTTGTATCTTGCAGCTCATAAAGAAACGACTAATGAAGCTTTCTGCTTTTGTATATACCCGCTTGCCAGAAGAAAAACCCAATGACGGCGAATATGATGACGAGAATGAACTCCTAATTTAAGATAAAGTGATCACTTGCTGTGCCATGGGCAAGGGGGCATGTCACAACCCAATTAAATTGTGCCCATGCCACTGAGCAAGAGATACCATTCAAATCATCCTCATTTTGACGATTAAGGGTTAAAAGACATCCCTGCCAAAAATTCCTTGAAACAAAACGCGGCCGGAGTACTATAGATAATTGGTCAGCTGAAATAACATGCTAGGGGAAACTATATATAATTGGTCCAAAAATAAGCATAAGCTCCTCACACGTAGCACACACGTAACAGGTAGAGAAACCTAACCCACTACCTTGTAACTTGAGGAGACAGAGCTGCCACCTGCCAAAAATTAAAGATTCCACATAACGGTTCACCATTGGATATTCCTGTAAAACACCTCTGCCTATAAATAGTTTAACAGTTTCTGCCCAAGGCAGAGAGCTCTGGGGATCTCACAGGAAACACCTGTACTTGTCACCAGAGAATTGGGAAATTGATCAATTCCTAATCAATCACCCCGTCAGCGTAAAATATTGACGTAGAAAGTCTTGCAAGCCCGACCGTTTGTTCCGGCGCCATGTCCGTCATTATCTCGTTGTAACCTGACTGCGTGCGTGTACTCAACTCTGTAACCGAAGCTTTATGCGTGTACTCAACTCTGTAACCAAAGCTGTAACGGAACAAAGGCTTGCCTGCGTCGTCATCACTATCTAGGCGACGTAAGTAAATAAACTCCTGTAACCTACACGTGTCTGTGCCTGGTTAATTCCACTCCATCCATCAATTACCTGCCTGCCGAGCTCTAAATCTAAACACTCCGGTGCGCGAGTCAGACAAGCTGCCGGCGGCTGCTCTGATTCACGACACATGCAACTTTAAGAATGGGGTTGAGAGGAAACCAAAAAGGAGGTAGGGTGTGGTACCCTATATTGCCTTTATACAGAGCTTGAGAGGGGTTGAGGCTACAGTGTGCTTTGAGTTATGTCAAGGCAAAAATTCCAAGTGTAAGTTTTGTTATGTATATTCACCCATAATGAGGTGCACAAGGACAGTGCATGGAACTCTAATTAATTTTTCTTTATATGCAAGTAAACAAATGGAATCATACAAAATTTTAGTCTGTGTTGCGTGTTTGCTTTTCTCTTGCATCAGTGATAAGCTTCCAGTGAATTTTAAATTAAACAGAAATGTAAAATGGCATTTTGATTGCAGGAACTGATGATGTTGTGGGTCCTGAGGGCATGGAGAAATTTTGTGAAGACATTGGAGTTGAACCAGAAAATGTAAGTTTAAGCTTTTTCCTGATTATGCTTCAGCAAGTAGCCTGGTTAACTGTTGACCAGTTATCTTCATGAAACATTAGAAGCATTTTCCATTTTAAAAAAGTTGTCATAGCTTTAATTAGAGATGCACAAATACATTGGTCCAATATCGGATTGGCACCAATATAAAAAAAAATAAACTATCGGAAATCTGGCCTGAAGTGGCCAATAATTTGGCAAATAAATGCCTGTGTGCGCACGCAGCCACAGTGCAGCATGTAAGCAATGAGGAGGAGTACAGCCAACAGTGTGGAGACCTGCATGCAGCTGGTAAGCTTGTTGTGGTGGGGGAGGGGGGTGAGGAAGAGGCATGGGCAGATTAACACCCCCCACAGCAAGGGAGGGTGTGTGGCTGGGGCTGGGATAGGCACTGCCCCGCTGGGGCAGGGCAAGCATGGGACAGAGCTGTGGGTCATCTGGGGGGTGGAGAGGGCTGCTCTCACTGCTTGTCTGGGAGGGCACAGAGGGGTGGGGAGGGAGGGGTGCCCCTATCCTTCAGCTGCAGCCCGCCCTGCCCCACCCCGCGCAGATCCAGGGGCACATGCCACCCTCCCAGATGAGCGGCAGGAGCCGGCCCCCCTGTGCCCCAGACGCACCATGGCTCCATCCCGCACCCATCATACCCCGGCTGGGCAGTGCCTATCCCAGCCCCACTCCCACCCTCACCATGGGGAACATTGATCTGCCCCC